AGAGAATGGGCAGGGAGTAGAACCAGGTATAAAACCTAATGGCCTTCTTTCTAGTGATCCACTTACTTCAGTGAAGTTCCGCCTTCTAAAGGCTCCACGGCCTTCCAAAATCATCTCACCAGCCAGGGAACTGCTTACTGAAATACATGAGCCTATAGGGGACACTTTACTGTCACAGTACGACATGTACAAAGACCACCTTCCTTTGTAGGGCATGCTGATGGGGGAAGTTTTAAGAGAAATCAGGAATAAGGAGGAGAGGAGAGAGGAAACTGGGTTTTGTGTGTTTTAAAATGTGATCGCAACACTGTCTTTCACAGAAGGTCTGTGTGCACAGCGACTGATCTCTGTAAAGACGTAGCGAGGGTCGTGGAGTCACAGATGGGACCGGAGAGCATGACTGACACTGAAGCTGAAGTTAAGCTAACCACACACCTTTAAGACAACAATGCATATGAGTAGGCATGGATGCCTTAGGTATATTCAGAATGGGACTCATGTTCAGACCTGGAAGAATCTTAACTAAACGACTATGCAGAGCCCTGGGGAGCAGCTGACCATTCAAGGTTCTGTCAACAGCAGAAGTCATTCTAGAGCCTGGTGGTGTCTGCATCCCAGCTTTACTTATGGGTGTGCAGGTGTGTGTGTGGAGCACATGTGTGCGTGTGTGTGTGTGTGAGAGAGAGAGAGAAAGAGCTTTATTCATGGATGTGCAGGTGTGTGTGTGTAGCACATGTGTGCATGTGTGTGTGTGTATGTGAGAGAGAGAGAGAGCTTTATTCATGGGTGTGCAGGTGTGTATGTAGCACATGTGTGCATGTGTGTGTGTATATGTGTGTGTGTGTGTGTAGCACATGTATGAGTGTGTGTGTGTGAGCCCTGTGTATGTGCATGTGTTTGTGGACATGTGTGCCTAGGTAGGTCCTGTGGAGCTCCAGGTCCAGTGTTTCTCTCAGGGGAACTAAGTAAAAATAAAGATTTGCAGTACAGATTCAGAATAAAGAAAAAGCAAGAAGGCTACACGTGGAATACAGAAAGTTTTTTTAAAGAGATGTAAATTAAAATTAGAATACTTACATCCATAGCAGAACTTCTCCCAGTATGATTCTCGATATAAATTAAAAGCAAAAGACTGTTACGTGAAATTTAGAGCCTGAAGACAAACCTTAGACTTTAGGATGATTGGCATCTGTGGGTGATAATATTTTGGACTCGGGGAGATGGCCTCTGCCCAGAAAAACCAGGTTCAGCCATTCGTCTTTTGTAAGCAATCAAAACAGGCAAATTAACTGTGAGAAACAGGAAAAGGAGATGCACCCACTGTACCACACTGGGAAGAGGGTTTCAGCAGCTCCAGGGGCTTGATTTGAGGTTAAGTTTTAAATAAAGTAGCAGGCTTGTGCATACACAGGGAGCTCGGGTCCAGGTGTGGTGCTGCCACCTCTGACCCTTCATTTTCCTTTCAGTAAGGTGGTCTACACCATTGTGAGTCTTTTTTTCAGAAGAAAAGTTTCCCCTCTGGTTGCCCCAGGCTCTAGGCTTTCCCTTCTCCCGGCTTGAGGTTCCAGGGAGGTTCTAATTTCATTAGCCCAGTAGGCAAAGCAAGGAGCACAAATGTGTCTTTAGAATATCTTCAGCCCTGCCGGGAGGGTTACAAGTACAGCTAATCTTTACAGAGCCACGAGATCCAGCATTGGTCCCATGAAGACAGTACACAACCCTGGGGACATCTAAGTCGAAACACAGCCAATAAAGAGTCTTCCTGTAGAGGGCACCAGATGACCAGGCAGCGAAACCTTGCTGCCCTGTAGTGGGAAGTCCTGGGAAAGAGCCTCTCCTCTGTGAACATACTGGAGAACTGTGGCAGTTGGAGATTCAGGAGAGACTCAGCATCTGTTCTTCCCTGAAAGTTCCATGCAGACAAAGTCCCATCTTTGTGCATTCTCTGTGGGACAGCAATCAGGAGTTTCCTGACAGAAGGTTGACAGAAGTTGAGAAGAAGGGCTCAGGAGCACATACATTCCAAGTTGTGGTGAATAACAAATGTGGAGAGTCACAACAGACTAAACTACCATCTGGCAGTTTGCACCAGTGCTTTTATGAGGCAGCGAAGACCTTAGACTTTTATTTCGACAAGAGTATTTAATCTCACTTTATATTTGATTGTATCCCCCATGGATCTGGGCCAAAGATGGAAGCCCAATTTAGGAATGAGAGTGGATTCTGAAGTGAGTCTACCAAGAAATAAAAACTCACCCACCTCCAACTTGAGCATCTGTGTCTAACATTCATGGCAGTAGGGAAAGGCAGAGAGGTCAGATCTTTGAATGTGCTGATTCCTGACCCTTGGTGTGAGTCAAGGTCACAGGATCATTGGTCAAGCAGGACCCTCTGTAGACCAGCAGACTACGTGCACACGGGGAGGATGACGAAGTACCAGAAAACAAGTAAGAGGACTGTAGGTGAGAAGGGGCCCTGTCTCAGTCTGCTGTTGGCCTCTCCCTACATCCTCCACAGGGCTCACATACACACACACACACACACACACACACACACTGAAGATGGGGGAGGCCACATGGAGTGCACTGTGGAACTAGTGAGAGCACACAACCTGTGGTCTCATTTCAAGTGACCTCACTTTCTCTTTTGCAGAGGACAGGACCCATTCATCTGTCCTTTAATACAATTTACATCTCTTGAAGGCACATGTTTGTACCACTGCCCAAAACAGGGATGAGGAAAAAAACATGGAGCCCTCTCTGGTGTTCACCTGGCAACTTACAATTGTCTGTAACTCCAGTTCCAGGAGAATCTAACACATGATCCTCTCTGGCCTCTGTGGGCATTGGGCACACACACAGTGTATATACATACATGCAGGCACAAAATCCATATACACAAATATATATAATTATAAGATATTATATAAATATATATTATTATATAAATATGTATTAAAAGGCTGCCTTATTTCACTTGGTAACAAGCGCCCTTACATACAACCTTGCCGCCCTAAGACATTCTCAAGAATATGCTACAGTATTCAAAGCTCCTTCATGTTAGAGAGGTGCCCATGAGCCCCTGCTCTGGACAGCTGCTCTGTCGGGCTCTCTTATTGTGTTGATTCTTTATTTCCTGGTAATAAGTAGGTGTTCTGTGCGGCCTTTTTAATGCGTGAGCCCCACAGCTGCGCCCTCACCTGTGGCTAGCTCTGCTAGGCTTCTTACATGGTACCTTGTCACATGACTCCTCTGTGACTCCACGCTGGCAGCCAGGAGTGTCTCCTCAGATATTAATCTGACCATGCCGTTTCCCTGTTTGATGTGGGTACGACAATCGGGATATAGCTTATGCAGTTTATCGTGGTGGGGAGGCCAGTGGTTCTGTGGCAGTGTGCAGCAGCTGATGTTTGAATCCCAGTAGACCAGGAAGCAAAAATAAGCCATTAGGAAGTGGACCGCACTATATACCCTCCTGGCCTGTCCCCCCCGTGGTGTGCATTTGTCCCAGCTAGGCCCATGTCCCAAAGGTTCTATGATCTTCTAAAACAGGACGAAATGTCCAAACACGAGAACCTGTGGGTACATACCCCAGTTCCTTACATGACAACCAAGGAATTCATAACCATGATGTCTGCCCACCCCGTTCCCTCCTGCTTATCACTATCTAGCCATAGCTGCTCGGTCCTTCCTAGTTCTAGCTCCCGAACAGTGCCAGAGGCCCTTCTGATTTCTGTCACCTTCGCCAGGGTCCTGATGCTTGGGCTGATGGGGAAGCCCTTCTGGCCATGGTCCCATGACACTGTACCCTCACCCATTTAACTGAGCTTAACATGTGATAACAAGGTCCACCTTCTTCATGAGAGGGTAAACTCCTGGAAGTAGGGGACCCATGTCAAGTTCAGTCCAGTCTGGCCATAAGTAGGGCTCACTACACACATACCCCACAGGCATCCCCTATGGCATCCCTCGTGAAGACTATAAGCAGGCAGGAAGGAGCTATGTAAAGAGAGGACACTGTTTTGTTCAGCCATTAACACATGCTTTAGAGGGGACGGGATGGATCATTAAAAGTCTAAAGCTTCCAACTAGAAGTCAGAGCTGTGTAAGTCTCCTCGTTTTCTCTTTGCTTTTATGGCACATACAACTCTTGCGTATTTTCTTAACCTAGGCTTAGCTTCTACTTAAGAATACTCCTACCAACATGGATACCCTTACACATCAGAGGTGGCAAGACGCAGATGCTGTCCTCTGCAAGCCCCAGCAATCTCTCCAGGCTGACAAGGAAGAGCTCTGGAGGCTGGAAGATCTAAATTTCAAGGTGGCCAGCTACTTATTCACTGTGGCTTAAGTAGTCCCTGGAGTGACTGTGACAAGAAGGTTTTGTCATGAGGCACTGGCCCCCCTGCCCCGGTGACACTGCCCCACAGATTGTAAAAGGTCTGGGAACACAGACTAACAAGCATCTTATTTTCGAATTTCAAAGGTTCTACTTTAACAACGCAGCTCCCTCTTCATTTGCCTATTTTTCGTGTGTGCCATGTACGCACGTTTGCAAGCCCATGTTCGGAGGCCAGCGGTTAACTGTGGGGTCCAGTCTCAATCGCTCTCCATCCTAGGCATGAGGCAGGGTCTCCCACTGAACTTGAAGTTACTGTTTCCACTGGGCTGGCTGGCCAGTGAGCCCAAGGGGCCCACTTGTCTTTATTCCCTAGTATTGATGCTACTGGTGTGTAACATGTTTCACCCGGATGCTGAGGACATGAACGCGCAGTGGTGCTTGTGAGCCAAGTTCTTATTTACCTACCGAGCACCTCCTAGCAGGCCTAGCTGCTACTTTCTGAGTAGTAGACCATTCTTCAGGTTAACAGTACATTTAAAAAAAAAATGTCATTTTTTCTTTAAATTCACTGATGCATAGGCCTACTTTCTTTGGCACTTTCAAAGGAAACAATATTATACCTTAAATTATTACATTTATAGGAAAGAAAGCAACAATTGTATTGCTCCAATGAATCTTGAAAATTTATTATTTGGGAGAATATCAGATATTGATCTTTTTGCTTTATAGCTCATGATAATATAATCAGAAAATATACATTTTGAAATAAAGTCAAAAGAAATAATTACAGATAGCACATATTACAGATTTCTTATTTATACATCAGCAAAGCAGTACTAAAAGCATATTTACGGCCCACGATCAGCATACGCGGACGTTTTCTGTCTAAAGCTGCAGCAACTCAAATCCTTCTAGGTCAGTGAAGAGACAGAGAAATACGTTGAAGGGCTGTCACCATGTCTGGCTGTAAACCTGTGTCTCCACTCTTTCCCCTCCCCCATATAAATGCATATGCTTATTGCCTTTAGAGTTCCGCTGGTTTAACAGTAAACTACATAGCCGTCTGCGGTCATTTGGTTTCTAAAAATATATATAAAATGAGCGGGAAGGCGCTCCCGTGGCTTTGACACAGCCACTGTCCTGGCATCGAAGGTGCACTGGGCAAACGTGGAGCAGCAGAACTGAGTGAATACTGACGGCCGTGACTCGGCACTGCCAGCAGCCTTCTCCCAGAGCCTAGAGACGCCACAGCAGACAGTACGAAAACACAACTGAAGAACACTGACGGGGCTTGTGTGGGGGAGGCACACAGAGCGTCTTGTGATGTACATTAAGGCCTATCCTGTCAGAGGCAATGTCTGATGCTAACTGCCCGTCTCCCTGTGCCTGCCTGCAATCAGGCCTTTGTCTTTTCCACACCATTTCCTCAATCTGTCAAGGTCCTAACTTGGAAAGGTGTTCCCAGATGTCGCTCTAAGCGAAGAGCTGTTGTCTCTGCAGACCTCTCTGCACTTACAAACAGCCGTGTTACCACAAGGCCGAACTGTCCTGGCTGTGCAACAGTGCTGCTCTGTCTGTGCTGCCACACCCCACAGCGAGTACCACGGGCTGCATCCTCACTGTGTAGACTCTGCTGGATGGGGCTCTGCTCACGACGGTCGGAGCTGCTGAGCTGCTCACTGAGAGTTAGCGATCAACCTGCCCAGTCAGAGGGTCACTTCTATCAACACCAGCTGAAGCCTCACATATGAAGACTTCCCTGTTCACTGAGAGAAAAAAGGAACACTAACAGCCCAAGTATAAAGGAGATGAAAAAAAAAAACACACACAAAAAACTGAGGTAACCCACCGTGGGTGATTCTCTGAGGAAGAGGATGCTCTATAGGTCAAATAGACCAATGATATTCAAATTATTCATTGGTAAGAAAGAAACTTGTAATATATTTAATACCTGTAGAAAAACCACATAATATAACCTGCAGTACTAATTAAAAAGACATAAAAATTTGTGATCTAATTTATTATTTAGAGCCAGTATACTTCTCCATATGCAAAATTTTACATTTGGTAGTTTTTGAATACCATTGGCTGCACCCCTCTGACATGTAGCCAAAGGTGGGGTTCATAAGCCAATTCATTTATAGTTACAATAAGTAAAAACTGTGATGGCAGAGTAAAATATTTTCAGATGTTCCTACACAAATTAGTTGTTTTCCCAGAGGTAAGAAAAGATCTAGAAAACACTGGACAGTGGTGTGCCTGTGACAGTCCTGTGACCGTGACACTGCACAGCTACTCAGCGTGTTTGTGAACTCACGTGGCTGCACCCTGCCCGTCAGGGAGACAGGAGGGCCTGGAGAGTAGCTGGCAGCTTCCAAGTTCAGAGGTGACGGTGGAGAACCAGGACCACTGGGAGCTGGTGGGAAGACCACCCTGCTTTAGGTTCCTCGGAAGGTCTGGCAGTTTACAACCGAGTGTGCTGTGCACCATGTGTGTGCCAGGAATGTCAAGGGATCTGTGCAGTTCCCTTTCTTTACACAGGGTCTCACACCAGACCCCAGGCTATCCTAGAACTTCCCCTGTGGCTTGGGATAGCCTGGGTCTCACAGCAACTGTCCTGCCTCAGCCCCCTGAGTGCTGGGATTATAGTCATGAGCCACCATACCCGGCTTCACCTTTCACTTTTCATACAGTTTAACCTACCTACAGCTAACATTTGGTTTAAATTGAAGATCCATTTGTACAACGTTTTCCTTTTTGAGCAAGGTTTCAATTTAGCTGAACAATGACTCAGTAGAGGAAGAGTCTGAGAGTAAGGCAGGTGCTGGGCGTGTGGACCACCAGTGCCACCAAAAGCTACAAATTACTTTGAATTATTATTTTTAAATGTATATAGATGCGAAACAATTGTTATAAGCCTGGAGCAAATGTGTTTGGGCGATGGATGGTTCTTTCAGAAACAATAATGTACTTCTCAAGACATCTTCAAGGCAGTGACAGCAAGACCTACTGGGTAAGCCCGAGGACCCAAAGACAGCATTTCAGTTGAGGTCTATGATTCACTTGGGTAAGAAGGCAACATTGCACAAATTTCAGTTCTCTAGAAGTGTCTACTACTTCACAGTCATTCTTAAATCGTTTCATTGGAAACCAAAATAAAGCAGCATTCCCAGCATCATTAAACATTCAATAAACCAAAAGTAAGTTGGCTGTGGCCGCACGCCCGCTGGCCTTGAGTGCTGCTGTGGCTTCACTCCACTAAGCCACCGTTATGTTATTGCATGTAAATAACACAGGGGATGCGTTCTCCTCAGGACTGAAAGCTACTTTAGATATCAGATTAAAGTCTTAGTTACATTGTACCAATTTACTCAGCGAGAACGCGCAGGGCTGAGGCACCTGTCAGCACCTGTCTACTGGTGAACGTAGTAAAGTCACTGCTCAGGAGAAAAGTACTGACTTGTTTTTTGGCTTTATACACAAGATGATATAAATATAAATGGAGACTAATATCCTATAAAGTCAAACTTAAAAATAAAAAACATACTCTGAATTTAATTTTATTTCCTTGGTAAAAAAATACCCAACCACAGTGCCCTCTCCTTCTGTCTCCATGTCTAGAGAAAGCACACAGTCCACATAGGAAGTCACAGCAAGCAGCACTCACTGCTGTGCGTGGCATGGAGCTCACGGAGGAAGTGGGTTGTTCTGAGGTGCATCACCTGGCGCATGATGGGGTACACCAACCCCATCCCCAGGGACCTCTCGTTCTCACGCTCTGTCAGTCCGGAGGACCCAGGAAGAGACAGTAAGGCAAGAAAGCCTCAGAGTGCGCCAGGACTGTCTCTGACCACATTTTACACCAACAATTTACCTCATTAATGATATTTCTGTGATATCATGTTTAGAATACTGTAAAGGAACGATTAACTTCCAGACTAGAAAGCAAGCTGAACTATCTCACTTAAGCAAGGGCTAAGAGAGGCTCCATGTAAGTGCGGCGGGCTCCATGGAGTCGGTCCAGACGGTGGAGCGCCCATGAGGCTTGTGTAGCTGTACATGAGCAAAGCTCTGATGGAGTCTGCCAACATGCACACAATCAGAATCCCACAGTATTTAACAGAATTAAGTCACAGGATAACTATTAATAAAATATTAAAGAGCAACATTCATACATTAATCAATTACATGGAATAAATTAAACTAAGCAGTCACATAACTTCTTTACTCTTAATTCAGGGTGTACTCACGTAAAAAACATAGATTAATGCTTTCCTAATGCTCTCAGAATGCTACAAACAAAAACAAAGGCTTTGCATTCCAGCTGCTGGACAACATATCAATACTGTGAAGAGTGAACAGGCTCCATGTTCAGCATCAGTGCACAGGGCATGGCTCCGAGCCCAGCATCAGTGCACAGGGCATGGCTCTGAGTGGCGTGTGTCTGGGAGAGAGGATACGGCTCAGGAACAGACCCTCTGTTCAGTTGGCACAATCTGAAGGATTTTACTGTCCATGGTACCTTTGCTGGATCCTTCCCCCGAAGTCCGTGCTATACATAGATGCCTTCAGGATTAAAACCAGAGGAGACGGGACTCTGTAGAATACGAAGATTACTGGGGAGCTGCCGTGATGAACCCGGTCTCTTCAGGGACCCGGACTGGAATGGCACCTCTAAACAGGAAACAAACATCATCTGGTAAACTGGCTAACCAGAAAATGTGTCAACTTCCCACCCAAAGAACTGGAGAGAGCAGACTACACTGGTAAGTGCAGTGAGGACCTAGGAAGGAGAAGGCGGGTGCTTGGATGGTGACTCAGTTACCAAGGCTAGAGCACCTTGCCTGGCTGCATCTCCCAGTTGCTGAGGCCACAGTACACAGTTGGGAAGTCTCAACGACAGAAGAGATGAGAAACAAGACTCAAAGAGGAGGGTAAATCAGGAGACTTTAGGGTGCAACTGAACACAGCCAATATTCATATTTATATTTGTACTTTGGTAAACAGGCCCATAAAGAAGCAGTTTAAAATAAACAATATAAAATAACAGTGTAAGTGAGCAGATTACCCAAATGTTACCATTTTTCTCAGAAATAAGGACACCATTCTAGGTGACTGTCCTTACCTGTCTCTATGTCTGCCTGTGAGGCCTCGATTTCGGTGGGCTCGGCCGGAAGCACGGTGACTTTTGTCCCTGTCTGCTGGATGAACTGCTGGAGGTTGACCTGCCGCAGTTCTTTGGTCAATTGCTCCAGCTCCTGCTCCTTGTCCTGGTTGGAAAACACCAGTTATTTTATTACTGGGGCTGGGTGGGCAGCACTGTTTTGGGACAAGCCTCCTGCTGTAGGGGCGGGAGATGGGGTCCACTTTCAAAAGGACTCATTTGACACATCTGGGTTATGTGGATATAGTGGCCAAAGACAGCACTATCCCACCTCTTAGATGTGAGGCTTCCCTTCCGGACAGTGCCACACACTCTCACTCTGTCATAAAAATACAAGTATATAGTTTCTATATACCCAGGTGTGACAATCTGCTGATGTGGTCACAAATTTCCTTCTTGTATACTTTAAAACTGCCTGCAAGTTAGTAGCAATTGGGTTCACAAGAGTTAAGAATTCTTAGTTTTGATAAGATGTTGGAGTTTAATCTACCTAATATTCATTTTATAACATGAGGAAAACAAGATCATCACACAATTCTCAGTCTAAGGTCCCCTCCTAGGACATGGCACCCTGCTCACGACAGCACCCTTACCTGTAGCCGCTTGGCGGCCTGGCCCAGCGACCTCTCCACGGCTCTAATGCCGTTCTCCAGCCTCAGGCTCTGCTGCCCTTGAAGGTCCATCTCCCCCTTGACCTTTTCGATCTTTCCTTTCACCTCCTCCTCGTTGACCTGTGCCTCCTGAACTTCCCGGTGCAGTTTTTCTGCCTGGAGACCGCTCTCCATGGTGTGGATCTGGGCCAGGTAGTCCTTCAGTCGGCCTTCACAGTCGGTCACCTTCTGTCGTATCTCCTCCAGCTGATCCTGCAGCTGCTTCTCGTTTTCTTGTTCGATCTGTAATTCATTTTCCCAGAACTCTTCCTCCTCGATCTCCACGTCATTTCTCTTGATCCTTTGCTCTAGGCGGATGATCTCCTCTTCCAGGCTGCAGCTGTACTTCTGCTCCCAGAACCGTATCTCTGCCTCGCTGGACTCCAGCTGCTTCTCGATGGCCTGCAGCTTCCCTGTCTGCAGCCGGATCAGCCTCTTCAGCTCCTCTGCTGTTGCCCTGCAGTTACTCAGCACCTTCTGCCTAAACTCAGTCTCTTTACCTTTTCCAAAACTGTCCGCCAGCCCTTTGGCCCCCCCTGTGAAGGTGAGGGACTTTCTTTTAGGCTCTCTCCTTCTGATGGACTTGTCTGCCTGAGGCCGGAGCTTGGCTAAGGGTGGCAGGCTCTGTCGATACAAAGTTCTTTCAGGAATGCGGGCCACACTGTCTGAGGTGGGTCGCTCACTGAGAGATGGCCCAGTCCGACGCAGGATGAGCTGCACGTCGCTAGCGTACTGCCCCCACTTGTTTAAGGACACGACAGGGTTTTCATGTGGGGCCAAGTGCCTCTCCGTGTCTCTCCACTTCTCTATCAGGGTGTACCTTCCAGTGCGACCTAGACAGGACAGAGGAGAGCACGCTGTCACGGTGGACACGTCATCATTGACATGCCACAGATGGTATGTCTGACAACTGTTCTTGGTTAGCATCAAATGTCAACATTTAGTGTCCAGTCCTTGGCTGCCTGTGGCAGCTTCAGAAGATGCCACACCTCCCAAAGCTGTGACAGCATACTGTTCAGATCTGAACTAGAAGCATCCTTCCAGCTTCCTTAGAAATTCTACTTTCTATTTCCCCCACTTGAGAGAATTTACACTCTGGTCATACGTGTAGTGTTCAGAACTTCTGGGAATAGATGGAACAAAGAAAAACATTGAAAATGTGTCCCCTACAGCAAAGAGTGGTGGCCCAGACACTGATCTAAGCTTCTAAACCTGGATAGATTTTCACTGTCTAAGCTTCCTCAAGAGAGATGCAGGGTCATTCCAGAACCCGCTCCAGCTCACTGACGTGCCCAGGCCTCAGAGGTCCCTAAGGACCCAGCTGACCTATAGCTCACATAGCTGGGAGCTGCCCCATGAAGATGGCTCTTTGAAGTAACTTTCTGTGAAAAATGTCTGAGGAATGTTGACATTAATAGTTTCAAAGGTTCTTTTAAAAAAAGGACAAAATTTAGATTTTATCATTAAAGACAAAACACAATAAAATGAATTTAAAAATGCTGTACCTACTAATTACAGAATTGAAATAAACTTTCAAAAGACAATATAGGGCCAGTATAGGTATTGTCATAAGACAATAGTGAGTAAAGATGCTTGCCACCGAGCCTGGGGATCCCGGGACCCTGGGAAACAAGACTGACTTTTCCCTTTGGTATATTTGTTGCTTCCTAAACAAACAAACAGATGTAGTACAAAAAGGATAAAAGAAAATATGTACAGGTGTGAACACACTCCATAGACACTGTCATCTAAGGTACGTGCTGTTTGGAGTTTGTTAAACACATACATCAGGGGTGAGAAGAGTCACCAGTCAGCCTTCCTCGCAGGCGTGAGCAGACCTGAGCTCAGAGCCCAGAACTCAATGTGAGGGAGAGCAGGACACACCTGTGGTCCCTGTGGGATTCGGGGCAGTAAGAGACTGACTCAGACAGAAGGTAGAGAGTGAGAAATGGCATTCGAGGCTGTCCTCTGGCCTTCGTGCACATGGACAATTAGAACGCCTGACGCGCCGTCTCACAGCTGGGGTGGCACGTGAAGCACCGTGAGCTTTGGAACAGCAGCAGCATTTCCTCCATAATGGGAATCCAGGGCATCCAGACGTGTGGACACGCACACGCACCCAGCCACGCAGCAGAGCATGAAGAACGCCTGAGCAGACGGAGCTGGAACGTCTGTCAGTCTGGATCTACCCAGCCAGTTTTCTATGGCACTGGCAGTTTAAGCTGTTTGCTAAAAAGTGTGGCATAAGTAAATAATCACAAATAAACCACTGGCTCTATCTTTAAATAGCTGATGCAGTTAGAATGTGGCTGTGAAGCCCCATGGCAGACAGGACGAGCATCAGCTGCAGGGCAGTCCCAGTCGGTCGCTCCTCAATCAAGTACTGATGATACAGGAAAAGACTTCTAGGTCAAATATCAAACAGCATCATAAAACATCTATGTCCAAGCTTTAGATTTTTGAAAGTAGGCCTCGAAATGAGTTATTGAGAAAGGGGAAGTAGAACAGTTGGTTCAGTTAAAACAATCGTTCATGGGTTAAGTACATTCTTCATTCTAAATGAACAAATATGCATCTGGTGACTAGGACATGCTTTCTTCATGGAATTCTAGGCAGAAAGTGTGGTTATCATAGGAGAAGATGTAGCTTGTGGTTCCTGCTCAGCAGGTTTGACCTCCGTACACCCTTCTCCTAGGGGTGTTGATGCATGCCTATTTCCCAGCACTTGGGTAAACAAGCCAGGAGGTTGCCACGGGTCAAGGGCACCTGGTCAGTACAGTAAGACTATTCAATAAATCTGTTAACAACAACAACAAAACAAAAAATAAAACAATAAAAGGGGCTGGAGAGATGGCTCAGTGGTTAAGAGCATTGGCTGCTCTTTCAGAGATCCTGAGTTCAAATCCCAGCAACCACATGGTGACTCACAACCATCTGTAATGGAGTGTGATGCCCTCTTCTGTCATGCATGTGTAAAACTCATTAACATAAATAAGTCTTTAAAAAAATAAGAAAAGTAATTACTTTAAAAAAAACACCATTCAAGAGAAATTTTGAGTTTTAATCATCACTGAATCTTGACTTGTTTTGATCCAACAGATCATGGAGAATTAATACTGAATATGTTGACAGAAAAGAAAATACCACACCTCAAGTCTACAGATAACAGTCTTGGATGAAGGTGTTCCCTGGACAGGGGTGTCCAGCTCAGCTTTCTTATCCTGCAATGCCTCAGTGACATCGAAGATGTCAGGATGAGAAGAAAGCATCTTGGCTACCACAGAGCAGACCTGCTACAATGTGCTGGCAACAGGTGACCTATTTCAATCCTGAACTGACATGACGTGCTTCCAATAGGAACTGCCAAGATGTGAGGTAAACAAACTTCTGACTCAGAGCTCAAGACACAGAGCAGCCGAGCACCTAGCACAGTGCAGTTTCTTCTTCATACGTGTTTACCAAGTAACAGGTTTGTGATGTAAATACAGATTCTAAACATATTACTTGGTTTTATGGAGAGAAGTTTATGCCCTCATTATGTTCCAAGTTCTGATAAAGAACATGTTAAACAGGGCCTGGTAGCATAGGCCTATAATTGCAGCAACTCAGGAGAATCAGAAGTTCAGGACTTTCCTGAGTTCCAGCCTAAGTCCAAGGCCAGCCTGGGCAAGCTGTGGTACCCTGACTCAAACCAGAATAACAAGCAGGTTGAGTATAGAGGGTAGTCAATGGTAGAACATTTGCTTAGCATATCTGAGTTCATAGGTTCCCCAGGTAGGTCCCTAGTACCACAGAAAGTTTTTATATAAATGGAGATTATATATATGGAACCTTAGACTTGGCGACCTCATTTTCATTTTATTATAACAGTTTTTAAAGTATACATTTCAGCTTAATAAAGAACCATGCTATTTAACTTACTTTATTCTTTATGTATTCAGAATTTGACTGCAAGAGTTTAACTTATGAGGGATTCTAGGAACTAGGAGTCTGCTGTGGTTTAAGCAAACATCTAGAATTAAAAGAAAAATCACTATTCAAGACAAACCTGAGGAGCAGACAGTGCAGACTCTAGGTTCAAGATCAGTGACAGGGGTATGTTCAGAGAGCAAGCATCACTACAGCATGGCTACCACAGACAGAGCTGTGTAGTGTAGTGTGCAGCCACAGACATGTGTGCAGCTCACTAGGAAAGACGTAGTATAGTGTGCACCCACAGACATGTGTGCAGCCCACCAGGAAAGATGTAGTGTAGTGTGCACCCAGACATGTGTGCAGCCCACCAGGAAAGATGTAGTGTAGTGTGCACCCAGACATGTGTGCAGCCCACCAGGAAAGATGTAGTGTAGTGTGCACCCAGACATTTGTAGAGTCCACTTGACTGATCAGGAAATGCCTAGAGGTAACAATTAGGGCCCTGGCCAAATGGATGAATTCATCCTTTGATAGATTTATGACTGCATTATTGGGACGTGGTAAGGTACAGAAAACACAGCTTAACTGAAAGTTGGTCTAAGGCGCCATGTCCTTGGGATAACTTAGTGCCCTAGCCTCTTCCTCTCGTCCTTTCCCTTTAGCTTGGTTGCATTCAATGGCTTGAATAAGAATGACCCCATAGGCTCATACATCACATGCTCAGTGGCCGAGGAGTAGTACTATTTGAGAAGGATTAGGAGGTGTGTCCTTACTGGACTAAGTGTGGCCTTACTGGAGGAACTGCATCACAGGGGATGGGCTCTGAGGTTCCCAAAACCCATGCCAGGCCCAGTTTCTCTGTCTGTGGATCACGATGTATCTCTCAACTACTTCTCCAGAACCACGCCAGCCTGTATGCCACCATGCTCCCTGCCATGATGGTAATCAACTAAACTTCTGAAACTGTAAGCCAGCTCCTAACTAATGCTTATAAGAGTCTCTCTTATAAGAGCTGCCTTAGTCACAATGTCCCTTCATAGCAATAAGCTGTGATTAAGAAAGCTACCAAGAGTGAGCTGTGTCATATGATTAAGAATGTGTCATATGATTAAGAATGTGTCATATGTGTCATATGATTTCATGGAGTACCACCATGAAAAGGGGTACTCCTGAACCTATGAAACAGATCAGTCATACTCACGGGAAGTTGCTACATCAGGCCTTCAGTGATAACTAGGTAGGAGCACATGATGCAGAGAACTGGTAGGTGGAGGCTACTGTGGCGTTTGAGCAGGTGGATTGTAAGCCATTTGGAAGTAGTCTGTGGGATGAACTGGGGAGAGTTTGGAGAAACAGGCTAGGAAACCCGTACAATGCTGTAAGTGGGTCAATGGGTGACTCTGCTTGGAGCTCAGAGGAGTAGAGTTCCAGTGGGAATGTGGGCACTGAAGGCTCGGCTCACAGAGTTCAGATGGAAACAACTCAACTGGGAACTGGAAGAAAAGTCATTTGTATTCTGCTGTGGCAAATAATGTCTACATTTTGTCCATAATTTGAGACTTTGTGGGAGGCTAAGTTTAGACAGGATGGAATAATTAGGAGACCGTTTAGGACAGCACAGTGTCCAGGCTATAGCATCAGGAGTGCTAGTGGCCCTGAGCCAGGCCCACAGTAAGATCTGGAAGGACAAAACTGAGCAAGCTTTGAAAACAGTGCAGTGGTTAGAAAAGGACTGTGCTGCAGACAGAGGCGTGGCTGCCAGGAAGCAGGGAAGTCGTCTACTGTGGTGACAGGAGGTACCCTGTCTGACGGGATCTCAGAAACTAGCCACACTGCACCCTCAGACTGAAGACTGAGAGCCTCTGGGTGCCTTGTGCACAAAGGGCTGCCTAGGAAATACGTTCTCAGGATTTTTTTTTTTCTTTCACTGTGCACAACTGCCCAGGTACTCAGAGGCAGAGCAGCTGTGGTCCAAGGCCTGGGATGCTTGGGCTGGCAGCAGATTTGGCATCATCCATGTGGTGCTGGTTTCACAGGCATGCAGAGGGTAAGAGTTGTGGGATGATGGAAACGCCCATTCAGGTTTCAAAGGGAAGGCCTAGGGAGCCAGGCAGCATGCGTCAGGTCAGAGTCCTGAAGAGCACTCTGTGATGTCAGGTCCAGTGTGTCCTACTGGGTTAAGTCACGCCTCGGTCCAACCATTTCTGTTAGTATTTATCTTTATTGATGTATGTGTATGTGTGTCTTTGCGTGTGTGTGCCACATGTATGCATGTACCTTTGGAGCTAGAAGAGGGTGTATGGCCCACTAGCACTGCAGTCACATGTGGTGTGAGCTTCATGACATGGGTGCCGGGAACTGAACTGGGTCCTCTCTGGCCACTGAGCCATCTCTCTAGCCTTAGTCCAGTATTTTCTTATTCCTCTTTTCCTTATACCAGGAGTGTTTAATCGGCAGCACTGTATGCTGTGATTTTACTTCTTTCACTTCTACAGTGACTCCTGGCTAGGAGTACACTGAGTCTCCAAGAGTTTTCATTGGGGCTTTTGAACAATGTTAAACTATTAAGACCACTGAGACAGATTCAGTGCATTGGGAACTACAAGGTGGGCATCAGACTTTCAGGAGATGTGTCAGAATGTTACAGTTTAGTCATAAAGTGTCTTTCCAAAGGCTCATGTGTTTACTGCTTGGTCCCAAGATGGTGACACTACTTTAAGAGGTTCTAGAAACTTTAGAAGATGGAGCCCAGCTACAAGAAGCAAGCTTCTGGGGCAGGGCTTTTAAAAAAAGCCTCATCGCTGGTATGTTCTCACTGTCTGTCTCTGTGTGCCTACCCTTCCTCTCCTTCTCTCACTCCTCCCTCCCCTTCTCTCCCATCCTCTCCGACCTATGTTCTCCTTGACGTTCTCTGCCCAGGCATCTTAGGCCAAAACACTGTAGGCTGAGCCCTTTGAAACTGAGTCCAAATACGCACCCCTTAGTTGTCTTTCGGGCATGTTCATCAAGATGCTGAGGCAGGTAACATACACACACACACACACACATGGCCCTGCCACACCACAGACAAGTGTGAATGAAGTGACATTTTCTTGACTTGCCAAGTCTTACTTACCTATAGCTTGGGCTAAGGCTATTACAACCTCCTGGCAGGTTGTGACTTCCGTGACGCCACAGACGATCCTCTGAACCCCATCCACCCACACTTTAAGTTCCATGGTGCACGTGCCAGTCGCACAGAGGCCCTGACAGTAGGCATCAGGATGTCAGGTCATGGCTCTGGCTTCAGAAGCACACCTAAAAAAGGTAAAATGTTTGTTTAAAATAAAGTAAACTTTTCCCTGTGTTATGTGAACTATAACACAACAACAAATACCCCACTGTGATTAAAGTCCACACCTACTTTACAGAGCAGAACTCAGCAGGGTAAGTGGCTGGCTACACCCCAACTCTGATTAGTTCTACACTTCCATACTAACTTTTAAGCTGTGTCCTAGGTCTAAAGACTCTTGTTTACTTGTTCAGTGTACGTGCTTGTGCTCTCTCTCTCTCTCTCTCTCTCTCTCTCTCTCTCTCTCTCTCGCTCGCTCTCTCTCTCTCGCTCTCTCTCTCGTGACTGTTCCACTAGGATAGTGTCAGAGATTCTTTCACATTCCTATCATTTCAGAAACTATAATTGAGCCATTTTTAAACATACTTGCTATGCTATCCTGCTGACCAGTGTCCATCCTGTGTCACACCTCTAGCCTCCCCAGGCCCCTGCTGACCAGTGTCCATCCTGTGTCACACCCTCTACTCTCCCCCGGCCTCCATGAGCTGCTCACTATGAAAATGAGCTGAAGGACATTGTTCCCTCATGTCTGTCTGTTCCTTTCTCACTGCTGGTTTATTGACTTCATTGTCAGAAGAGTCGTCCCAACAATATAAAACACAGTTCACAGTATCTACTGCTTACACACTCTCTTATAAATAACCTGTCCATATTAAGTGCCTACCAGAAGACTTTACTCAGTTAACCATCCCATGCCAGTCCCGGCAGGAGGCCTCTGCTCCGCATGCGGCTACACCTGAGTCTGCATCCTAGCAAGGGTCTCTGCTGTGCATATAGTTATGTTCATTTGCATTCACTTAATGACTAAAAGTTCAAAGTGACAATTCATACTCAGACAGGAAAACAATGTGGAGGTGTACCAAGGAAGTCTGAGCAGAGACGGACCCCGGAACCACACACGCATCCACTCCTTTTCAACTCAGACATAGGCAGTGAGCACCCTTTCTCAGGCAACTTGCTGCTGTGCTGTTTTGTGCTTCTGTGTTGGTTCCCCAGTTGAACTGGCCCAGGGCACAGCAGTGACATGCTGTCTGATGTGACTGAGAAACACACAGGACAGATGACTGTCAGGTGCAGGCCCAATATTAACTCCGAGCACAGACTGACTCACAAGCTGCTGCGGCAGAGACTCGGAGGACACTGGGCCTAGAACAGTGGCACTTACTCACTAGGTGAGTGTTCACATGGACTTTACAGAGGCAGGCACTGTGAATACTGATATCTAGCTGTGTATGTGCAGAGTCAGCATCGTTGGGCCCTGTTGAGCAAATGGAACCTCTGGGACACAAGAAGCAAGCATACAAAGAGCTTATGGCTAAGATTGGGGCAAAATAAAAGACAATGGTTCTGATATCCCACAACGGAGGACGGGGTAAATTGTATTAGATGTAAATCAGCAATCTGGCATGGGGAAGAGTATCTGGTACTAATATTTTCCCACCATTACAGAAGACCTACAGCAAGCAACTCCAGACAGTAAGGATTTGCTTTGGCTCAGTTGAAGTCCACCATGCAGAGGAGGCGTGGCAGCTTCATGGGAGCACACATCTCAGCGGGTCAGGAACTCCATCTCGGGAAACCTGGAGCTAGCATATGATCCTTAAACTCTGTCCTGGTGACTCCATGGCTGCTTGCTAGGCCTCATGTATAAAAGGTCCTGCAATCTCTCAAAACATTTAGAGACAGTGTTTTAGACACATGGGGGACTGTGGGTGTCACTTCACAAATGACAAAAATACCTAGAAAACCTCCCACTGGAATACAGGGTAGAGCCTACATCTTGTGAAAGCCATGCCTGCATATCAGATGGAAATGTGTACCGCTCTTCAGGCATGAGGGTCCCTAGAAATGGTCTGTCCTGTATAGGTTTGCTTGGAAGAAGTTGGTTTTCCTTTGTATGTGGAAGGTCTGCTGTTACCCATGTGTTCGTTAGCCACAGGCTTCACAGTTCAGAGTGATTCATTACTGTCATGTATCACATGCCCAAGTGACTCCTGAATTATGAATTCAAGTGATTTTCGTAGACGGCAATGAAAATTCTGTCTTTTAAGAATTAGACATTTCTGTCATATAGCAAGTAAATAGCAATAAAAAAAACTGGAAAAATACTAATACCATTGAAAATAAGGGACATTTTAGGTTATTGTATCATGCATGGAAGAACAGCAAACAACCATGATTTTTTAATGGATTCATATTTAGAACTTCTATCACACTTAGTATAAAGCATTCTGAGTCCAGATAAAGATACTGGCATGAAAATATCAACCCTTTTATTAAGAATGCCCTTTTTTCTTAAACTTAAAAAAAGCTCCTATTATATTTAGAGTGTGTGTGTGTGTGTGTGTGTGCCTGTCTGTCTGTCTGAGGGAGCACATATGTGTGGAGGTCAAAGGACACCTTGTAGGAGTTCGTTCTCTTTATCTACCACAGGCCCCAGGCTCAGGCTGGAAGTCAGCAGCAGCTCCTTTACCTACTGAGCGGTCTTGACGACTCCCTCCTTTGACTTTTCTGATGAATATAGCCAGAAATTTGTTTTTAGTTTTATCTCTTACTTTATCACTACGGGGGTCATTTCTCTGGATAGTGTACTGACACATCCATTTTCCTAAGCCACACATGATGCTAACTTCATTCGCACACTGAGATTAATTCCATAACTAGTGGTATTAACCAGCAACTCCTCAGTCAGCATCAAGTTTCTGGGAGCACAATGCTTAAGAGGCTGAAGAGTGATGCTTGCTTGTGCTTCAGCCCGTGTGGTGTGTGCTGTGCTTCAGCCCGTGTTGGGCTGCACAGAGATGGCTCAGGGTTACAAAGAACTGCTGCTCCATCATGAAGGCTGGAATTTAGATCCTTGCACTGTGTTACACAGCTTGCAAATACCTATAATCAAATGCCCCATTCTGGCCTCCACGGGCACCCCCATGAATATGTGTGCATATGCTTACTCAGATAGACGGACACAGACAAACATTTTTTTAATGAATAAATTTTGCTTCTTGAGTAGGGTCTAAGTACAAATGCAGGATATTCATGTAATAACTATAATTCAAGAATGAGCAAAATCATATTTATCTATTTTAGAAAACAGATGTTTGTAATAACTGAGGCTTGACTACAAAATCAGCTCCACTTTAAAGCAGCTCTTCTCCCCAGTATCGTCTACACACCCTGACTGACACCCAGGAGCTCGTTGTCCCCACCTGCCCCTGGTTACTTCTGGAATCTTGCTAATGTCCTAAAGGATGCAAGAACCACCATCAGACTGGACTCCGGGCTTCTGGCTGACAGGGAGCACTGACAGGGAGCACTGCCACAGCAAGTGCTCTGCTTGGAATTGTGAGCCCGACATCAAACCCCACAGAAGACAGCAGGAGAAGAAAACCATACAGCAGGTGCCATGGGACTGGGACCACTGCCCTGCAAGCAGTGGGAACACAGTGATCCTCATCCACAGCCTCCAGTACATGGTTCATCTTTGTAGACGTCAGCTCTAGTAGGAGTGCCACTGTTACCCACAATGCCACTGCTCTCAGAATTTGTTCACCTCCTCCTGTCTCTCCATGTTCCAGCTTGCCATCTCCATCCCCTCAAACCACTAACACACTACTGCACACAAGACTGCACACACTATGGCACATACTACTACACAGACTGCACATACTACTGCACACACTATGGCACACATGACTGCACACAGGACTGCACACTACCACAATACTACTGCACACACTATGGTATACACTACTACACAGACTGCACACACTACAGCACATACTATTGTACAAAGGACTGCACACAGGACTGTACACTATTACACACAGGACTGCACACAACGGCACACATAACTGCACACACGACGGTACACACTACAGCACACACTATTCACACACTACTGCACACACTACTGCACACAGGACTGCACACGACAGCACACTATTGCACACAGGACTGCACACACAACGGCACACACGACTGCAGGGCTCTCATTCACTCCTCACTATCATGGCAGTGAGCAAATGTTACGACATCCGTCTACTGAAAAGTCCGCTGAGACGGTGGTAGCTGACAGACGGACTTAAGGACAGACACACTATGGCAGCTCTCCTTGAGTGGGGACATCAGGACCTTTTATTACCTGGTGACAAAAAGCCAACCAAATGATAGTGTGTTCTTGGTGTTTACTGAATCAACCAACAACAAGAGTGAGAACTAAAGTCTTACAATGTGACAGAAACCGTGTCTGTCTGTCTCTAACCTTTCATCACCCATCTGAGTATTACATGACATGAATTATTAGACACGTAAGGAAACTGAGGCAGAGAATATTCACCCAGGCTCACCTGCTAGCAAGTGGCAGGTCTGACAGTGTCTGTAAGCACGGGAAATTCTTGTATTTATGAATGGGGCTGAGATGCTCACAAGGGCATGTAACCACTAACACTATTTCAGGACAAGTAACCCAGTTCCTGTGAGTGCCATGAGTTCTAACTTTAGTTGCTCAAGGAACCACTGCTGCCACAAAGCCAGACACAGAGCTCACAGCCAGTGGCCAAGATGGTGTGAGGAACGCATGGGAAGGAGGTTCCCGATGGACATGGTGCCTCCAAAGCCTCCCATCTCAGCTGAGCTCAACGAGATTCTGACCTCTGCCTTCTGCTACACACGCTCTGTGCTGAGGCTCCTTTTCCTGCCGTGGGACTTTTTCAACAGTGAGCTTTACCTGAGAATCATATTCAGACACATGACCTAATTCCTCATCGAAAACCAAGTGTTTAACACTGTGCCATGAGACCCCTGTCACACTTGGTTTCCATTCACAAAGTGAGGCTGACTATGGACTTTCTGTCCATGGCATCACAAACATGGGGCCTATGAACTCTGACAAACAAGTCCGTTCTAATCATTACAATGTGACCGCAAGACCGAAGGGAACACTCTTGCCTTAGACTGCTGACCTCAG